TTTCTTGAGGAGGCCTCGTCTATGTACCTCTCCTCCCACCTCAGGTGGAACTCACTGCTTTCTTCTTTAGGCTTTATCTCTAAATTGTCAACGCCACTTCACTTTCATTGACTGTCAGCTCCTCGAAGACAGTATCTCCGTCATGGACATCGCTGTATGTTGCTTTCTAGCTCACAGTAGCAGCAAAACGAGTATCTAATGCATGCAGGAGAAAGGACAATGAAGCCCTACCTGTGTGTAGATGTTAAGTGAATAAATGGAGTTTGCAATGCTGTACCGAACCACCGCAAAGGCCTAGTACAGACGGCTCTGTTATTTAAATCCAGTAAGCCTCAGTTTGCATTAGCAAAGAAGTCAGAGAGGCAATTCCTATAACATGAGCTGACTTTCAGGGATTGAAAAAGGGGTCAGTAGTGCCTGAGATTGGCTCGCTTCCTTAGCAAGTTGTGAAAACAAAAACCCCAAAACAATTCCCCTCTCGCCCCAAAGTTGGCACGTGCTTCAAGTTTTTCTGTTCCAGAACCCTTTCTTTGGTCAGGCAGTACTCCCTGCACTATAGCTGTTAGTCATTACTGTACTCTGAATTCATTAGAGAAGGTCAGTCTGGAATATTAAACAGATGCGCAGCCCTGAGTTTCCACAGCTGAAGCCCTACATTCGAAATGCACGACAATTGCCATCTTCTCTGCACCTCCTCTGGAAGTTTCACTGTAAGCAGGCATATTTTGGAGCCTGGCTCCTTGAGCTGTCCTAATTTCTACACCTAAAGTGAGGGCCAATTAATTTGAGGCAGAAAAGTCATTTAAGAGAGCATGTTAGCTTTACCTGCACACACATGGTTGTTGTTTTCAATTACCACCACAGAGACAACAGGGATACCAAGGAGTGAGGGATTTGTTTCTGCAGCAAATCTTTGTACTAAATCAACCAATCAATCAAAGCAGAACAAAAAACCATCACTAGCCTGGCTTACCTATTAATTTCAGATGGAAAAGCCCTAGGCATTAAGAAAAACAACGCTTAAAAAAAAAAAGAAAAGAAAAGAAAAGAAAAACAACGCTGACCTATGCTTGAGGTAGATTGGATAGTTAATTTGGAGCAAGTGGAAATGCCTAGATAATACTAAGTTGTCATTGTAGAAAGTAAGTTTTGGACCTTCTGCTTTCACAGTACTACCTAAACTTGCAAAAATACTCAGAGCGGCAGAAAGAAGGACTAAATTTAGACCCTCATTTAATGCATTCAACAGCATGATTCATTTTCCTCCTGTCTTGGTATAGCCTGGAGAATGTGAATACACAGCAGGCGGCACATGAATGCCTGTAAATAAATAGAACCCTCATTCATTCAGATGCCGCGCGGAGCCGCTGACACCCACTTTGCCTGCCACCCTAGGTGCTCTTCCAGGTACCGCGCCCGCCACACTGTAGGAGCAGAGTTCCAAGCTGCTGAAATGTGGCTAATTTTACCTCTGCTCCGGCTCTGCCATGACTGCTGGTGGGAATGCATTCTGCCGCTCCTCTGCCCTGAGTGACTTTTCCCTTCCAGCTCCAGGGGGATCCTGCCCAGCTCTCAGAGGCCACGTGACACAAGTCCCCCTAATGAAGCTGCCCAGAAGAAGGTCATCATTTGGTCTCCGTGTATCTAGTGACCTGCAGCCCGAGTCACATAGTGGCAGGCCTAAATTGGGTCTTAGAGAGCTGATGGTATAGATAGCATAAGTACCTGAAAATACGTCTGGGCTATTTGAACAAAATAAAAAGCAAATACCAGCCAACAGTGAATTCAATTCCTATGAATTAAATCAGTGCTGGGCACAGTAGCAGAGTACAGTGGGCCATCACTGTCCTGTCACGACTTTTGTTATCATCATTCACGCACTGTGCTTCCCACACCTAGGCAAATGTCCTAACCTTCATAGGTAGTTTAGATGAAAGGTGGACTGTCATTTATGTTAGTCCAGCATGGTTTAGATGGAAAAGCTCTTCTTTTGTGATTTCAGGTGACTCATTTTTTTTTCTTCTGATTTTAGATTTTAAGCACATTTGGAAAGTAACCTTCCATGTCTCCTGCTTGGATCTTTGACCTTATTGGTAGTATCAGTGTTTAGGATAAATGTTAGGAAAAAAGATGAAATGTCTATGACACATCTTAAGTACCATTGCCTCCCAGAAGTGAGGATCTTAAGGCTGTCCCCTCTTCTGAGGTATAAAGTGGGTGCTGATAACCCTCCCAAGGACCCTGATATGCATTCCAAAATTTATTTCCTCCAACATGAAATGGGTCTAGCACTTTTGAAGTCAAAATCAAAACGAGTTAGCTATGGAGCACGTGCACTGGTCACGTCAGGAATGAGTCACTCAGAGGAGTTATGCTTAATGAGCAGCACTTGGAGAAGCCCAGACAGGGGACAGGAACAGCTGCAGGATGGGACTGGTAGACCCCGGGCAGGGCTGTGGGTCCAGGTGGATATGGGATCTGATCAGCCTGAACACATGCTTCACACGCCAACCTGGACATGGCACAGAGAAAAGGCAGCACACCAAAGGGCAGCACCAGTGATTTGTACCTTTCTCAAATAGCTTCATGATTGGGTCTCCTGGGCAGTTGTGAAAACGGGGGTGGGGGTGGGGTGTGGGGAATATCCAGCCCTCAAGTGGCCCATCCAGGGCCATAGTGTAAATACGAAATCATTTAGAGGACAAGGATGTCCAATGATCATGGCCACATGGAATGACAGATTTGGGGGTGGCTTTCTATATCCATTTGAGAAAGGACCAACACTCTTTAGCACTCTAGACAGAAAACTGGCTGATTTAGCTTAGAACAGTGGCTACCGCTGCAGCCAATCTGGGACGATCACAGGGAAGGGAGAAGGATGGCAGAAGGGCCTCACAAAGGCCACACCATTCAGGACCGGGTCAGTGATGGACGGGGATTTGGGGCAGAAATTTGTTCTCACACACATAGAGCACTGCAGATCTAGATCATAGTGTGGGAATCTGTTTTCGTACTTCACCATGCAAGACACCTCTTGTCTATCTCTGGGGTGGGGGTTTTGAAGTTCTAAACTACAATCAGCCCTTCTTTGAAAATAGCAATAAGAAATCCTCTGATTCAGCCAGATGGTGGTGTTTGTTGCACTAGGCTGGGTTCATAGTACAACATCAATAAATGGCCACTTGTAGAGGGACAGACAGAATCTCGTTTAGGAAACACTTCTATGTGTCCCCCCCTCTCATCTTTAATTGTCAGAAAACCCATAGGGGCTCCATGTCATTTTGGGGAAGAAAAGAAATCTAGGAGAGGCAAAATAATGCAACTAAGTGGAAAATCAATTTCTAGGGGGAAAATAGCATATGTAATCTCCGACGAAAATGAGTCTAAGCTTTGTTTTACCTTTAGGAACCCTTTGAATGGGAGGCTCTCAAAAGGACTTTCTCATCTCTGGGCAGCTGTCTCAGGGAAGTCTGTACATCATCACCAGAGATGTCATAACTAGGGGGAAGAGCTAGGCATGGTAGCCCACATCTGTAATCCCAGCACACAGGGAGACTGAGGCAGGAAGATTTCAAGTTTGGGACCCTCCCCAATAAATAAAACAAAGGAAAGCAAACAACAAGGGAAAGAGTTGAAATTCCTTCTCAGTGAGTTGGGCAACTTGTAAAAATCAAATATTTGTTTTAATAAAGAGTTCCAAATAGTCTCGCTTGCCTCAGATCTGGAGAAGGAAAGGGTATTTGTTCAAAATCCCTCGCAGAGGGAAAACATGACATGTATGTCCTGTTGCCAGTAGACATAGCTCCTTGAAGGCCTGAGGCCTCTCATCTGTGCTTCATCTTTGCCTTTTGGGTTTCAGTCATGCTTGGGATGGGCACGGGGCTAGGGGAGGCTTCCTACTCTCTACTCCTGCTCTTAATAAGCTATACTACCTCGTTATGTAACCCTAAGCCATGTCCACAGTCCAGGATGCAGACAGCTGGCCTGTCAGCAAAAAAAAAAAAAAAAAAAAAAAAAAGTATGAAAAATGTTAATTCAACAATGTTGGAAGCCTATCATTGCCAGAGCTAAACTCCTCAGGGAAAATGAGAAATAGTTGCCCCAGGGAATCAACTCCTCCGTACTGAAAGCTGTTTCTTTCCTAGTGCTTTCTTCCCAAGTAATTTCCCAATGCATGGTATGCTCTGACATTTGGTCCAAATAAAACCCTGGAACAGACTCCTAGGCTGCAACTATCTTCAAATTCCACCCAAAAGGAGAGTTTAACACAGAGAATCAGCATCTTCTAGGGCTTGGATAAATGAGGCTGATTGGGGGCCTGATGGTGCCTGGTCCCCATACTGAATTACTTCATGATATAGAAATGATTTTCTTTCCTAGCATTCATGGCAAGTAACTCTGTCTATGACCTAAGGCATTTTCCATACTTTCAGGCAGTGAATACTACCTTCCTATGAGTCTCAGCAGCACATAATTTAAGACGGTGGGAAAGGGAATTGGAGAATAGTTTCCAGTGCAAGGAAAATACCCTACAGATGTTTGCCCTTAACTCTTGAATTCTGATGGCAAAATTGAGAATTGTTTATTTGTTACAAGGGCAAACTCAAGGAATGTATTTTCTAGTGACTGTGGGCTGAGGGCGGGGGTAACATGAGAGTTGTGACATAATATATTCCTCATACTGAAATGTCCCAAGAACGGGCCTCAGATTTGGATTTACAGAAAATTTAGTACTTTCAAAATTGTTCATGTTTGGATCAAATTTGGCATACCATATGTCAATTTGTGTCACACAAAGATGTACCTGAAGAATTACTTTGCTAAAATCATATGTTTACCTGCTGTAATTTTTGTTTTTCCACTGAGAGAGCAAGCTAGGAATTGGTCCTCTATCTTGAGCCATTTATTGAGAACAAACAGATGAACTTGGAAAAGACATGACCCAATTGAAGTTAATTAAATACCTGACTTTGGTGTATGAGAATCATAAACTTGCTTACGGTCTATCTGGTCCGCAAACACTTCCCCATAAATCATCCAGTAGGGCATGTAGAAGATGTTTTTGGCCAGTTTCCATGACGGCTCCTCATTGGGGAAGAGGATGGCTTGCCTGGCCACCCCGAAGCTCATCAGTACCACCAGCATGATGATGACAAAGTACATCATGTCTATCATCTGGAAGGGGACAGAAACAGAGGGAGAAACAAAAGAAAACACATGTGATCTAGCATTCCTGGGAAGGCTGCCCCTGAGGGAAAGCTTTAAAGGAAGTTCACTTTCTAGACTGCTGATAAGAGATGTTAGATAGAAAGCTGTGCCCAGAGAAGAGGACACTAGGACTGTTGAAGTCAATGTCCACATAATCTTAGGAGTAACTTAAAAGATTTATTTATTTTTTTTAAATACACACCCAGCGGAGCCCCTCTGTTTTTATCACTGTCTGTGGGACATGGGAATGCAAATCATATAATATGGACACTCAAGTCTCTGAGTCGCAGCATGAACTTTGATCTGCTCTTGGTAGAAGCAAGTGTCTTCTTTGTGTCTCTTCTTAAAATTTGGAATTTGGATAGCTGAATCCTTTTAAGAACTAATGAATGCAGTAAATTCCCTTTCTCATTTTCAAAAGACTAATGAAGAGCTGGAAAGAGCAAGAAAATAATTTCTGATAAATAAAGCAGGGACAAACCAAATATCTCTCATACTCTTATCCTTATGACCTCATTTTATTGGATGATATTCTGCCACAAACCAGTCTACCGAGAAAGCCATGCTTTTTATACTTCTGCAGGGTATCCTACAAGTGATGGAGAATGTTTCTGAAACATTAGAACCCTGTGACCCGATGACCCATCATCTCTCTGCCTGCTGTTGGAGTGATGGATTTTCTCCTTGACATGCTTATAAAATTCTCCTGAATGCATTCTAGTAAGAATATTATCTCTTGTTCATCTTCCTCCTTTTTTCCTTGTTTCCATGGTATTTGTTGGATCTATTTCTCATATGCTAAATTGCCTTCCTTCTATCACCCAAGAAGGGACTGCAGTAACTGCAGTTGACAAAGCCTGCCCAGAAGCCCATAGAGGAACTTCTTTCAGAAACAGGCCTCACCCATTCGGCTATAGAGTAGGTGTGTTTTCCAGGCTAGGTTCCTGGTGGTAGCTCACCCCCTGGAGACAGTGTTGGGAGCCAGACACATGACAAGGGTCAGCCAACCAGATCCTTGTACTTTGTTTATCTGAAGCTGTGGAGAGAGAATTCTCTTTCCTTCTCCTGAATGTTGTAAATTCATTGTGTCTGAGGCCAAATTTCCTCCCAGGGAGGCCGATCCAAATGAAGCAGATATACAGGAGGAGAGCCACTGTTGGCCCTGGCTGAGTTCCTGCTTGCAGTTTTATCCTGTCCTTCTTGTAGTGGATCTGTCTCTAAGGGTTAAGCTAATTGGGGCCTGGTTTCTACCCCTTGCATCAAAGTATGTGATACCAGAACTACCTCCTCTTCGACCCCGTATTTCCAGAAGGAATATTCATTCACAAAGAAAACTGAGTGGTCATTTTTATTAATGAAGGTTTGGGTGTTTGTCTGTTTCTAGTGCTGGGGACTGAACATACGTTGTGCCATGGAGCCACACCTCCAGATTTCCAAATTAGTTTAAAACTTTGTTTTAGAAGAATATATCCCATGGTGCCTATTACTGGAATTCAAAGATTATAGCCTTCCTCAATGCCTTGGGACACTGGGGTCTCAATACATTTTAGGTCAATTAATCACTTTTCAAGATGGCTTCAGAATTCATCATCTGAAGTATCATATAATCTCTCCAAGTCTGACATTCATTCTCATTTTCTCTTGCTGCTTAGCTACTGCATTCAGTTTAGTGGTCTCAGAACTCTCAGCCAGCAAGCTGACCGTGTAGAGGCAGTTTTATAGGAAATATGGGCCTATTTTTCATCCCTGCCATCTCTTGTTTATTTTGTAAAATTCTTTCACCACTTATTTATAAAGTTCTATCAGTGAGAAAGTATACATGGGTCCCGTGTGTTACGTTTATTTCTATTGATTAAAATTGAGGTGGGAGAGGAAGGTGTGTTCTCATGAGATGGAGCCCAAGAAATGCACCTGATACGCACAAAAACTGCACGGATTTAATTTCCCAGGTTTGTTTTCATTCCAGTTAATTCTGTTATCTCTCCACAGGGTCAAAACCATCAAAGAGAAGAACATTCTTCCCAAATGCTTAGCTTCATACATTTTGAAGTCTTTATTCAAACTCCAGAGTTTGAGCATTATTAGTAAGAATGAGGATTGGCTTCCTTTGTTTTAAAGCTAACTTCTCCAGTTGGTTCAATAAGATCCTGCTGTTCCGTTCTTGGGCTTTTCAGGTTTGTGGCATAGGAGAGTGTGAACTGCAGCCACTAAGCACGTGTTCTCAGAGGCCAGACGGTCTGGTTTGCATTTGGCTTGGCCAGCAAAAATTGCTACATTAAAAAGAAAAGAAAAGAAAAGAAAAATCCACCACCACCACCACCACTACCACCACCACCAAAAATAGTTTTCCAGACCCCAATAAGTAAATAAACAAGAAAAAAGAAAAGGATTGATAGATAAGTGGTCTTGGAAAAATTGCTCACTCTTTTTTAATTTTTAAAATAGAGATAATAATGTGTATTACTTTTCCAAGGATTAAATGTGACAATAGGTGAATGCTTAATGTGGTAAGATCTCAGTCAAGGCTAGTGCATCTTTTTTAGACTTGGAAGGAGTCAGGAGCTCGAACCTGTCACTGTCCGTTGTTGAGTCTCAGTTTATTCATCTGTTAAATGAGGAGACTGAAACCTATTTCTTGGGGTATAAGGATGAGTATGTGTTTTACACGGTCTCCGGGGACACCAGGGGCAGTGGATGGTGGTTCAGGCCTGCAACCCCAGCACTCAGGAAGCTGAGACAGGAGGATTTCAGTGTGTTTGAGGCCAGTTTGGGCTCATGATCCAAGGCCAGCCTGCACTGCACAGTGAGGCTCTGTTTCAAACAAGAAACAGAACAAAACACCACCTGGTGCCCGGCACACAGTGAATGGGAGCCACCGTTGCTTTCACTCTGCCTTCTGCAAATGAGCTTAACACTGACTAGGCTTACAGAACCCCCTTGGGAAGGGCACCCAAGGGGAAGGAGTCAAGGATGCAAGAGACCCTGCTCAGTAGTTGCACTATACTGCAGATCCAAGTGTCCCGCATTGCCAGGCTCTCACAGTGCACGATGCACGGACCCCTGGCAGGTGGATCCCTGCTATGTCCAGGGACGCTGTCAGGGCACAGTGAGCTCCCTGGCTATTTAGTATTGGAAAGGGACTTTCTGTGTAATTACATCTGTGCTTATCTATCTATCTATCAATCATCTATCTATCTATCTATCTATCTATCTATCTATCTATCATCTATCTATCTATCATCTATCTATCTAATACATTTAGGGCAGGGTCTACAGGGTGTACAGGCTCTCACTACGTAGACTGGACTCCTAGTGATTCTCCTGTTTCAGCCTCCCAAGTGCTGGGCTTATAGCACCCACCACCACGCCCAGTCTCAGTTGCCTTCTCTGCACGCCCCTGGGGTGGGGCTGGCGCAGCAGGCCCAGGAATCGAACCTTGGCCCCTGCATCTGCCTAAGCAGGCACTTTACTCTGCTGAGCTATCTGGCTGGCCCTGGTCCAGGCTTATCTTTGTTAAGCTTCCAGCCTGGCAGTTCATCCGGCTTACTGATAAATTCTGTGGGCATATTTCACCCGCATTCTGAATTAATGGCTCAGTTATTGAACGTATTATCTCACTTTTTTGTTTCCATTTTTCTTTTGTTAAACTTTTCTTTTTATTATATATTTTCAATATATAGTGGCCACACTCAATGTGGGCGAGAGTTGGTACGTGCACACGTGCACACACACACACACAGTGTAATTCTTTTGTTTCCTCCCCTCTCTGCCTCTAGGGTGCAGTTTACTTTTTTTCCTCCTGTCTTCCCCCCTTCCATGTCTTGATCCCCGTTATGGTGTGTCTAGGTGTCCCCCCAAAGCCTCATGCAGTCTTGGGGTGGCTTCTGGAGTTCATGGTTATTGTGGGTGTGGATGCTGCACCTGCCCTGGGGCAGGTAACCTGCATTTCAGTGCAAGGAGGGAGAGAAGCTAGAAGCCTGAGCTGCTGCTACCCCTCCCTTGCCCTCTTGCTCTTTGCTGCCGCCATGAAAGGTTGCTCTCTGCTGTGTGCTGCTCTGCCTTGGACCCAGCTGTGTATGGACTGAAACCTCCAGTAACTGTGAGCTAAATAAACCTTTCCTTCCTTCCTTTTGGGTGTCGGATATTTGTCCCAGCAATGAGAGAAGAGTAACTGAGACAATCCCCTTTCCATTTGAGAATAATCTACCTTCCTACTTCCTATTATCTAATTTTCATTTTTGGATTGATTATCTTAAAAGCCTCATGAAAGAGAAGCAAAGTCCCTACGTATTCTCATTTCAGACTTACTCTTGATAGATCAATGAAGTCGTTCATAAGTTAGAAGGGAGCGGAAAAGCAGTGCAACCCTCCTGCTCACCCCTTAGTAAGATTTCATTCTTGTCAAAAGTGGAATAATCATGCCATTATTAAAATGATCAGCCTGGATTTTAAAATAATCTTCTGCATTAGTGTGATTTCAGTTATTTCGGGCACTTAAGTGCCACCCAGACTTTTTTTTTTTTTGAGACCCAATCTCACCACATGGCCCAGGTTGGCCTGAACTCTTGATCCTCCTCCTGCCTCAGTCTCCTGAATGTTGGGATTACAGGCATGTGCATTTTCTTTATTTCTTTATTTAGCATAGAAGGATTGAACACAAGCATCACCGAGCTACATTCCCTTCCCTTTTAGTTTTTTTTTTGAGACAGAGTCCTGCTAAATTGCCCAACCTGGCTTCAAACTTGTCGTCCTGCCTGGGCCTCCAGAATATCTTGGATTATAGGCATGTGTCACATCTGCCTCCCCGCAGCCTGCTAAAGGTAGTAAGCATATTTGGTTTGCTTGGGTCTTTGCAGATTTTGTTAAAATAAACTAAGGCAGCAATCAGAGAAAACATCCATGCAGATTAACCCCGCCCCCCCCCCCCCCCCCCCCCCGCCAGTGCAGTAGTTCTCCGCAGAGGGCAGCTCTGTTCCTGAGGGGACTGTGGTGACGTTTGGAGACATTTTTGTTGTGATGGCTGTGTGCGCGCGCATGCGCACACCTGCACTACTGCTCGCCAGTGAGCAGAGGCTGTGGCTGCTGGGAGAACCCTGTGCTGCACAGGACGTGCCTGAAATCATCGCCCAGTTGCAAATATCTACAGTGTCAAGGATGAGGAAACTTGACCTGATCTTATGGCTGTGAGTGCCTTGTTTCCATCCCGGCCAACTGGGCATCCAGTTGTTAATTTGCTGTCTGCCTGCAAACCCCATGCACTTCATGCAGGGATTGGGGAGGCTCCGCAAGGCCTCTCTACTGAGCCCTGTCTGCAGGCCATCTTTAAGCATGGTCTGCAGTCTCAGATTCATTGTTAAAGTACAAAGGAGACAATATAGCAGATGGAATAGTAAAGTAATAGAGACATTTTTCCCCTGGTGAAAAAGTGCCTGTTGAACTGGGGTTCAGTTTTGAGTAAGTAACTCAACTTTGAGAAGTCAAGCTTTTCCTCTTTAGAATAGGCTTGGTGAGATTTGCTCCAAATAATGCTGGTGTTGAGATGCGTCACTGGGGAAGCCAGGCTGTGCCAAGGAGCTGAGTGGGAGTGGTGCGCATGTGCGCAGGTCCCTGAGCCCCTGCGACGTGGATTTGCAGTGGAGGAGATACGCGATCACAATCTAGAAACTTATTGGGACTCAGATGGCACCAAGCCTCACGTGGTGGCTATTCAGTTCAGGCCCATCAGAAAGAAAAAATGTCAGTTTCATCCTCTTGGGTTGTTGAGCACCTAGTAATCTTCTTTGTCAGAAGTTCCAGACAACAGTGTTTTACATCTTGATCTGAAGAAAATGCCTGGACTTTCCCATTCCTTTTTGGTGCTTGAAAAGGCTACACAAATATGCTTCCCTTAAGAAGAGCTAGAGATCGCCAGCTTTTTTATGGGCTGACTTTGGATGGACTACTTCTCATTTTTTTGGTTATTAAGTTAGTGTCGGTTTACTCTAGAATTAAACTTTGGAGCACATTTCAACACACCTATTACTGTTTTGTTGTGGTTAGTTTTTAAAATTATATATTTTTTCATGATGATTGAGTGACAACTCATTCTGGAAAATGATTCATAGAATGTAGAATTATAATGAAGGGGCCGGAGAGATAGCTCAGTAGAATAAGCACTTGCCTAGCAAGCAAAGGGTCTGAGTTCAATCCCTGGTTCCACAAAAAAAAAAAAAGAATGAAAGAAAAAGAAAAGAAAGATAGTTTCACTCTGAAAAAAAAATGTTAGTATTATAAATACCAAGGTGGTGTAAAAAGGGTTAGATATAGAGCAGAATAACCCTGCTCACCAATTTTTCCTTTCTTCATTGTACTTACAAAATTAATATAAACACAGTGATAATAGATGTAATTTATCAACTGCCAAACAATGGGCCAGTTACTGTTGGTCTTTTTTTTTAAAAAAAATATATTTGGTACAAGGTCTTACTATGCAGCTCAGACTCGTAGTGATCCTCCTGTTTTTAGCTTTGTCAGTGCTGGGATTACAGGTGTGTGCCACCATGCCTGGTCTCAGTGGCTGGCTTAGCATATGGTGCTGGGGATCGAATCTCAGTCCTTGCGATTGCCTAATCAAGCGCTTAGTCTGCTGAGCTATCTCACTGGCTTTACTGTTGGTCTTTTAACATGTGTTATTTCTAAGCATCACAAGGTTCATATTTATTATTCACTGCTACTTTAGAAATGAATAAACTGAATGTCAAAGAGGTTAAGTATATTGCTCAAGGACTCCAATTCATTTGAATTTAAATTCTTCTATACATGAATTTATCAGGGCTTTTTGTTTTTTGGAAGAATGCTCGCTTCTTTAGATTCATTTCAAGGGGCATAAGGGCAGATAATAGGGTATGGATGTATTATATAAATATATTACACACATGAACCCCCCAAAAGTGAAACCGGGGGAGAGGAACAATGGGGGTGAAAATGAGCAAAGTGTGTTCCACAAGTGTATGAATCTGTTAATCTGCATAATGAAATCTGTTAATCTGCATAAACCATTTTACAAAGTGAAGCAGAGTTATGAGCTGATGTTTAATAACCGCTGAGTTATCAATGAGGCTTAATAGTAAAGCCTCGCTCTGGTGGGAGAGGGCATGTGCCGGACCTTGGCTGGCTGTATCAGCTCGCACAACGGCAGTGCAGATGATCTTCGGAGAGGCGTTTCACCAAGACGTGTCTGTCCAGCTGGGCTGGGTGCACTCTGCGTGTGTCCTGGGAAGAAGGTGATGGAGGCCACACACTTAGAGGCCTGGGGGAGCTGCTAGGTGTCCCTTCCTGGGCTCCAGGCCCTGGTTCTAGGCACTGAGTCATCTGTGCACTACCAGCTTCACACTGATGTGGTCTTCCTAGAGTTCAGTCTTCATGAACAAAATCTGGAATCAGGTGTGCAGTCCAGGCGTGTTGGAACAAGGGGTTGGCCGTCTGTGCGGAAGCATATTAGCTTGGCACTGGGGTTCCTTTTTAAAGCATTAGATTAAGTAGGTGTTTCATTTCGGAATCTACTTTTAGCAGATGTCACTTTCCAGCGGTGTGACATATAATGCGTAATGTTCAGTTCCAGCTCAGCCCAACTCAAACCAACTACATTTGTACTGGAAGAACAAAACTTGTAAAACCTTTCTCAAACTTCACCTTTCTTGAACTTTGCTTTAAAAAAGGTAACACGTCTTTTAAAGCTGGGCGTGGAGACACACTCCTGTAATCAAAGCTAGTCAGGAGGCTGGGGATGGCAAGTTTGATGCCAGTCTGAGCAACTTAGCAAGACCCTTTCTCAAAATAAAACAATGAAAGGTTGGGGAAATAGTTTGGCATTCTGCAGATTCAATCTCAAAAAAAAAAAAAGAAAGAAAAAAAAGGAAAAGAAAAGAAAGAAAGAAAGAGAAAATCTTTTAAAAATCTATTTCAGTTTTGCTTGTGGAGGTAACTCACTCCTGCTCTGACACTCAGCTACGGCGTAACCTTCATGTCCCCCTATGCTTTTTCTGCACAGTATACAAGATTCTGGCAGCATTTTCACTCTGCATGTTAATTCACTTTCTTTTTCTCAATTTCAGTTCCACAGAAAGACCATCTTTGTATACCCAACTCCTAGGCCTGTTACAAAATAGATTTTTATGTATTTTTCAGCTAATGCATGAAATTCCCAGGTCTTGTATACAGATGTAAACTCTCAAACACTCAAAAGGAGTCCCCCTCCCTGCTGTTTCCTGTAAACCTTGTTAAAAGATCTAAATTCTGAATGAATCATACCCCTCTCCCTACTGTCTCTACTCCTTCGCTAAGGATGTATAACATGGAATCAGAGGACCCTGCTTACCATTTTTCCAATCATCATTACATACGGGCCCAGATACTTGTTCACGCCGAAGATGTCTAGTAAGCGGATGTACCAATAAATGATGTTCACACAATAGATGACTCTCCCGTCACTCCTGAAGGGCTGGTCCTGAAGGCGGAGGATCATTCCAACCGAGAACAGAAGGATGGCTATGAGGTCGGTGACGTTCCAGTACTCCTGCAGCCACACCTTCACTTTCTGCAGTAGCTTGCCGGGCTCTGACATCAGGATCTAGAGGGCCGGAGACAGCAGGGTTAGGCCTGGCTCCTGCCTCCAGTTCCTGCACCATTGCTGAGTGCATGGCCTCTGAGCTGCTGGTAGGGGCTTATTTGGTCTGTCTGTGTTCACCTTAATGCATTTATACAGTGAGTATACAACTGGGCTTAGTTTAGGCAATCTGGATTGGAAAGGAAGTAGAGATAAACAATAAATTGGATCCTTTGAATTGCCTTATGATTCTAAGACATACAGTGAGGTTTTTCTCTAACATTTTTACATTCCCAAAACACTGAAAATCCACAGATTTCTTCCACCCCCTTTAAACAGCACCGTTATATTGGGTCACGCTGTCAGGAAAACTCTTGACTACTCTTGCACCAGCAAGTCCTTGCACTTCTGTTTTTTTCTTTCTTTCTTTTCTTTTTTTTTTTTTTTTAATTTTTCGGTGCAACCGGGGATTGAACTCAGGCTCTTGTGCTTGCCAGGCAAGTGATTATTCTACTGAGCCATCTCCCCGGCCCCGCACTTCTGTTTCTAAACACAACTTCCAATCACTTCCCACTCCCACCACATTTCATCTCGCACACGCTCGCAGTCCTTCGCACTGTGTCCCTTCAGCCTGCTGTCCCTTCCCTGAGCCATGCACAGGGTGATCTCTAAAGAGCAATAACCAGTCTGGTGATTATGTGGGTGTCTATGTGGGTGAAAGTTCACCAAGCCGCACCCTGACCAGGAGTTCATTTTGTTACGGGTAAGTTGTACCTCGATTTTAAAACAGGGAGACACGAGAGATGAGGAACAACAGAAGCTTATGAGCATCGGATGCTGGCACATTTGACCTTTCAATGATTTCCGTTACCATTAGAGTAAAACCTGAACTACTTGCCGTGGCCCTCTTCACCTCCCATGTTCTCCCTACTCCGCAGCTGCATTGGCCTGCCTGGAAGCAAGCTGGGTCCATCCGAGGCTCAGGACCCTGCTCTTATTTCTTCTCTTTGGGCTTTTCTTAGTCTTAACGCGTGTGGCTCTTCCTCTTCCCAAGGTCTCTAGCTGCAGTAGCCTCATGTCTCCAAGTCACTCACACTCTGCTTAAGTTTTTGAGGATTTTATCACTATGTGAAATTATTTTCTCCATATATATTTTTTCCTGAATATGTGTCTGCCTATCTATTCATTCATTCATTCCCCCCAGCCAGCCATCTACTTAGCACTCATCCTCCATCATATCCTGCTCCAGATGGGAGAAGTCAGGGAGCCTGGCTTCGTGAAGGAGCCAGGCCAACCTGCAGAATCTCATGTTGACTTCTCAGGTTTCCATCTCTTCAAACACAAGCCACAGTCCCCCACTCCCTCTCCCACCCCTGGGATATCTCAAAGGACAGAAAAGACTGTGGCCAGACCTCTCTGCGGCTGTTTGTTTGATTACTCATGGCCACTATCATGTTGGACCCTGGTCTAAAATACTAAGACAGGGGTGGGTCTCAGGAGGCTGAGCAAGACACCAACAGCTACCTGCTGGTTTCACCTTCTGTGGCCACCTCTGAACCCTCACCTTGGGTTTCTTACACCCTAGTAGGCATCAGAGTCAGCTGCAAGGCTGCTGGAAACCTATAAGGTGGCTTTCTCGCTACTTTATGCTTCAGCAAGTGTAGGTGGGGCCTGGGGAGCCACTTTTGCCAGGCCTGCCGAGCTAGTACCACTCCTGCCCTACCCACCAGCAGTTCCTACAGCTGGCAGAGTCTTGACGGCCTCTCACCCTCTGGTTCCATCTTACTAGGCAAAAATCCACATGAGTATGTGGAGAGAAGGATGGAGGATGGACAGCACCTTAGAGCTTTTTGGACCCTTTGTTCACTCTTTGCTGAGAACACTAATAGACACAGAATGCTTCAGTACAATTGTTAAACAGTGCAAATACTTTTTTTTTTTTTTGGTGGAGTCCTGACATTTAAAGAAGAGGTCAAAGTACAGTTCTTGGGATGAAGCAGGAGCCAAGGTCAGGACTCTGTCCCCTTGTCAGCCCGTAAGCACGTGCCTTAGCAGCCCCGGACCCTGCAGATCAGAGTGGGTGTTGGGGGCGCAGGGTGCCTCAGGATGAGTCCGACAGATCCCCTACCCAGACCTCCTTTCTAGCCGTGGGATTTTTAAAAACTGATGAATCCCCGAGTCTTGGTTTGCAGTCCTGTAAAGTCAGGACGTCATCATAGCTGTACCACTGACCTCAGAGCTGTGGGAGAAGGACCCAAATGAGATAACGTCTACTAAAGCAGCTGGAAACAGTGCCATGCTATTAAGGGATTACTGTGGCCGGCCTGGTGACCGCAGGAGAAGTGTGTGGGGCTGGGAAGGGGTGGGCAGCCTGCGAAACCACAAAGCCTCCCTTGTGTCTCCCTGGGAAGGCACCAGCGTGTGCAAACTTTTCCACGTTTCCCAGACCTGAGCTCCTCAGGCCTGCATCTGACAGGGCCAGGCAGGAAGGCTGGTGCCTGCGGGCCCTGCCCCGGGACCGGAAGCTTTGTCCACTGAGTTCAGGGCCAGGACATGCCCGAGAGGCAACCCCACTGTGTCCCCTGGGGCAGGGAGGGCTGTCCCTCACTTCTCCCCGGGGCGGCAGGAGAAATGGAGAGCAGGCCTGAGGCTCCTGGCCGGGCGCCCGCTTGGCAGCCTCCCCCAGAACAGTCCGTTGAGTACAGGCTGCTCCCTGTCTTCTTCCAGCCGAGTCCCTGGAGGGACGCCAGCCTTGCACCGAGTCCTTCCCTCTCCACTTATCACGGAAAGGATGTGTATCTGCGCCTCGTCGCAGACTGCCAGCTGGCACCGCACAGCCCCGGGCCGCTATGGAGCAGGCTGAGGACTCAGGGAGCCACTCCCTGCCCCAAGCGAAGGTGTCCCTGTGGCAGGGGGAGTGCCAGTCATGGGCCAAGAAGCAGGAGGCGCTGAGAATGCGAGGATCAAGGATCGCGGTGTAGACAACGGGTCAGTTTGATCCAGTCTCTTACAACCTGGGGCGAGTGCAGCCACTCCCAAATTCCCAGGTTGGAGAAATGCCAGCCACAAGGAAGGTGTTTCCCAGGCAGCGTAAATACCCAAGAGAGAAGGGGGCTGCGAAGACAGATTACGTTTAATGATCCCAATACAACTACATTGAACAGAATACTGCATCTTTTTCTCTGGAGAGAATTCCAGAGCTGAAATCCAAGAAGGCGCGGACCTCTGGACTCGTCTTAGTGATAAAAGCAAGAGTGGATTTGCGGGTCTTAGGAATCATTTTCCTGGCTCCCACTCTCTGCAACACAGCAACCAGGATGGGTCTTGAGCTGTTGGAGGTGCATGGAGGCGACAGAAGCATTTCCTGCAGAAAAGGTCCCCCCTGGGCCCCACAACTACAGGGAACATGCCAGAACCCCTTAGCATCTCACCAGCCTGTCTTCGCTCATGGTTCTCTGATGAACTAAATTTGGGCAGAGCCCTGAGCGGGTGTGTGGCGCCCTCTTGTGGGATTTTGTTAGATCACAGTCATTTTAGAGGTAATCTATAGGATCCAGGGGTTACCTTTTTCTTGAAACAAAAAATTCAATTCTGTATTATTTAAGAGCAGTTTTAGGTTCATAGAAAAGTGAAAGGAAGATGTATAAATTTACCACATGTCTTCGGCAGCTACATATGCCTCCACTAGTGGGGTGTGTTTGTTAATAGACTCAGACTCCGCCGTTCGTATTAGGCTCTCTCTTGGTTGGGGGCTTCTGTGGGTCTAGATGCCACGTGTCCATCGAAGGGCACCATCCAGAATAATATCGCTTCACTAAACAGCATCTATCATCAATCCCTCCTCCCAAGCGCTGGCAATCATGGTTCTTTTTATTGTTGTCTCCATAGTTTTTGCTTTTTCTAGAATGTCATATACTTGGAATCACATAGCACAGAACACTATTTTTTTGGGGGGGCTGATTTTCACTGAGAAATCTGTATCTAAGTTTCTACCCTGTTTTCTTGTGGGTTCAAAGTGTGGTCAGTTGCCTTGGGAGCCAGCTCCTCTGATGTCACACACGTCACGTGGAGCTGGCATTTGCATGGCTTCTTTTAGGTCACACGGATGGATGGCAGGATCGAAGGGGGATCTGATGTCCCCAACTTGCGCGACCACAGTGTGGAATGGTTGGTGGCCAGCAAGTGCCTGATACGCAACCAGAGGGTAAGTTCAGTACAGGAACGAAAGCGGAGCTCCTCTGAGAGCCGTGAAAACACATTTGGAGAAATGCTATTGATATCAGTGGACTGTGTCCAAAGAGACTCAGAGGGAGGGATTGAAACGGGAGTTAAAAATAGCAAAATTTAAGAAGTGGTGTGTATAGGGATGAGAAAACAGGTGTAAATTATGTGGAAGATGACTGGGGAGTTGGGGGAGGCAAAAACTACGTGAGCAGAAAATAGACTCGATCCAAAGTGCTCCCGGAGCATCAGCGCCACAGACATCACCCTGCAAGACCTCCCTGGGCTTGTGAGAGAGGAAAGCAGCAGCCCCAAGCAACATCAGAGAAGAGTATCTGGCTTCATGAGGACCCGAGGGTTCCCTTCTCCCTTCCACCCACGGATATAACCAGCCACCAGCTTTCTCCCATTCGCTTTACTGAAAGCAGTTACCTCTCTCATCTTTTCTATCCCCAGGGTGAAAATGTAGGAGATGACGATCCATTCCTGTGTAGAAGGCCAGCGCTCCATCTTCACCAGCACGATGTAGTTGAAGAGCATCAGGTAGCCGATGTACGCCAGCTGCAAGGAAACACAACTTGGAGCTCTGGCTGCTGGGGCCCCAGGGCCCCTGCCTGGGGCCCAGCCGCCCATGTGGGACAGAAGGAGGACAGGGGGCTCATGATGAAATGAACTTAGCAGCTTGCAACTATCAAGGGGCTATAACATTTGAAACAGTTTACTATATGATCTTTGTTTTACCTCTTAGACATGTCACACAGTCCCTGGAAGTTTGTATCGATGCATCACCATACATCAGTCTATCAGTTACCCATTTTCTTGTGGCTAACAGGGAGTTTCAACCATCAGGGCTGCTTTCCTGGGACACGCACCTTCAGCTCCCAAACAAGGGCAACGTGCTGGGTTTTGCCTGATGAATGCCGTGAGAATGTACTTCTTGCCAACTGGTCAAACCAACGTGGCATTCTCTATCTCAAGACACTGCTTCAGCTCTCTTTCTTTGCCGGGTTGCCTTCACTTAGGGCCTGATGTGTCCACACCCAGGAAGGATTTCCCTGTGTCCTCTTGTACCACCTTTCTGCCCTTCCCCAGTTGGAATATTTGGTTTGCTTTTTGCTTCTTTGAAGTAAAACAAGAGAAGCCAAATCAATCTCCACAAAGGCATGGGTGTGCGTGGCCTACTGTGGACTAGAGTGGGGCTTAATCCTCAGGAGCCCCCAGCACCTGGAGGAAGGTTCTGATGTGACTGCCTGCACTGACGGAGGTTGAGAGAAACCCACCAGGACTCGGGTTTGGTCTCTGTCACTTGAGATCTGTGGTGTCAAGGTGAGCCTGGTGGGTGGGGGGCAGGAAAGCTGATGGGGCTCATGTATAAGAAATGGCACCCTCAGGGAACTGGCAGATCCATTCAGCTTTCCCTAGAAAACGCTTCAAGGTAAGCTAAGCACTTACTGGGCCTCAGGGGCTGTGATTAGGAACTCAGAGTGAGTTTATCCAAAGTTCCTGTACTTTTCAGAGAGACTGAGCACATAATGACATGCAGCTGGGTAAGAGGGTTGAGGTCTCTCGGGTTCTGGAGGTGCTCGGTGACTTTGGGGCTGTGCAGGCAGCCGAGAAGGAGAGGAAGTTGCAGGCAAAAGTGCAGAGGAGCTGCCCTATCTACCGCTGGACTCCGCATTCTGCTTTGGTAAGGGACTAGATTCCCAACTGCATGGACTGCGCATCTGTAGGCACAGCTGTGGCTGTGGTGTAGCATTCCCTCCCTCTTTTTCTTTTTCTGTTCTGTTCTTTTATGTAGAGTCTTGTGCAGGCTAAGCAAGCATTCCCCCACTGAGCCCACCCTACCCCTTTCTGCACCCCTTTCCTCAATATTTTATAGTACCTAAAGCTGAACCCAGGACCTTCACGCTGAGCTACATCCTCACCCCCTTTAAAAACACTTTTATTTTGAAGCTAGGCATAGAGGTACAGGCCTGTAACCTCAGTCCTCTGGGAGGCTGAGAAAGGAGGATGTGGAGTTGGAAAGTTCGTTGGTATTAAGTGGTGCTTGCACCAAAGCGCTGAGCTCAGCAGGTGGTTGTGCAGATGCTGAGGGGCCTGAGCTCACCTGCTGTGCTTTGGTACCTAGCATGGGGCTGTCATGTTGATCTATGCCTCCATTCCCACTCTTCATCACTTTCAGAAGCATTAACAAACCATGAGAATCTCATGAGTTTCATTAAAATTGTGCAGGACATTGTCTAAAAATTAGTTCAAAATATAACCTGGGTTTTGTGGCTTTAGCTCACCATTACAATATACAGCTTTCACTCTGGAGGCTCCTTGAGCACTGTATTTTGCAGGATGCAAAGAAAGTAATTCAGGTGGTAAAACTATAACCTCCACTCATCCTCCTCCTGTTCCCAAAGACTTCTCTCTTCCTGATTGCTTTCTTCTCTTAGTTGGATAAATTCTGTGACTTCTAGCTGACACAAGTCTTAGCTGCCCTGGTTTTACAAAATTCACTAAAAAATATTCCACAGCATTACCTTGCTAGTGGGACCTAGGCCCTGGATCTGAGCCCCAGCACTGCTAAGAACAAATGAAAACCCCAGGTTATGCGCTTTATCTTGTCAGCCAACCTGCCTGGGCCCCCAGGAAAGAACCTGTCACTGGTGGAGAAACCCAGCAAGCGCGCCACATCCTTCTCGCCATGGTCGCTTCACACCAGGAGTCTGAATCCTCTCCAGCTGGACCCTGGAAGCAGCCCTCAGCATGGACAGCATTCTGCCAGCTGGATGCCCTCCTGCCTGTGTCCTGGAGCAGAGGGGAGCAGCCTGATCCTGGGGAAACTCGCTGAAATGGGGAGATGAGGTTGTGAGGAAGTGAGGTGGCCTTGGCTTGGAGCCCCCAGAAAGGAGGAGGGGACATGTTTGGAAGTCAGAGTGAGAAACACTCTTGCTTGTGGAGAACACAAATGGGACCTTCAACTAAAAATGAAAAGTCATGGCAAAATATTTCTCCCCAGAGAGGCTGGCATACCTTTCCACTCAGGCTCCCTGGGGCCTGAGTTGTGTCAACATGTGAACACAGATTTCTGAGAACTGTTGTCTAAACACAGCTGAACCCAGCTGGGTGGCCCCGTTTGATGGGCTTGCTGGAGGGAGGTCACCCTGTCACCTGGGCAAGCGGCAGCTTCCCAGGGCGCTGTGTGTGTTGGAAGAGTGCTGTGTGTCCCACCTCCCTCATCCTGGAGGGAGTCAGTATTGCACAGCCTCTCGGCTCCTCCCTGGAGATTTCATTCAGCGGCTCTGCAGTGAGGTCTGGAGCTGGTGTTCCAGCCCTGCTGTCTGTGCCCAGCTTCTCAGTGTTGGCTGCCCATGAAAATCAGCCAGAGGTGCTGAAATATCCTGATGCTCAGGAGCGTACCAGACCCTGACATCAAAGCTCTGGGAGGAGGGCCCAGGGGTTGGCGTGTTCTCTAGAGGATCCCCACGGGCACAGGCCTACACGTAATCCCAGCACTCTGGGAGGCTGAGGTAGGTGGATGGCAAGCTGGAGCCCAGGTAGGCAATTTAGTGATTTAGCGAGACCCTGTCTCAAAAATAAAAACCAATAGGGGCTGGGAAGATGGCTCAGTAGGATAAGCACTTGACTGGCAAACTCAAGGATCTGAGTTCAATCCCCGGTTCCGAAGAAAAAAAAACAACAACCCAAAAAACCCACAAAAAACAAAAAACAAACAAACAAACAAACAAAAAACAATAAAAGGCTGAGGATGGGCTCAATCCCTAGTACTTAAAAAAAGTAGCGATTTTCAGCTGGTGGTGATTTTATCACACCGGGGTAGATGCAGCGAACCCTGGAGGCATTTAGGTGGCTGTAGAGGACGCAGAGTGGTGCTCACATGTGGTGGCAGAAGTCAGGGACACTGGTGCTACATGTGGTGGGCAGCGCCCTGTGGCAGAGAATCATCCCACCTGAAGTCCTGGGGGGCTGAGGTTGAGGAGTGCAAGCAGCACCCCGAAAGCATCTCACTTGGTCCCTGAGCCAGGCTGTTTGGTTGCCAGCTCACAGGGGTGCCCCGAAGCTGGTTGTGGGAAAGGCTACAACCCTAGCCTTTGTCTGGTACAGTTTTGTGGTGGTTGGAGAGAATGGGCGAGGACCTGGGTCTAGCTCACTGTAAATCTAAAACATTGTTAGAAAGAAGGGGTGCAAAACCAGCAGTACAGCCTTTTGGGCATCTCAGGATGCCTTTTTGGGGCATCTCACCACTTTTGGCAGGAGATGTATGCAGGGTATATGCGCTGGAAAGTGCTGCCTCAATTGCAAGCAGCTTGTGGTAGGGTTTTGCTGCTTTGTCTGAGTATTGTTTAATTGTGTCAGAGAAAGATGGCTGCTCACCTGGTGGTGCTGCCAGACTGGGAGTAACTCCACTTACGTGCTGAGCTTTTCTAGGGTGTGACCTCTGCACTAACCCTTTACCTACCATATACCCCCCCCCCACCCCAAGCCCAGCATTGGCATCTGACATAGGCAATTCTCGCCTAGTCCTTAACCATCTAGGCAAGGAAGTGTTCTGCAAAATAGACATCTGTTCTCCCACCGTTTCTATCCATTAACACTTTCACCATTTTCTCCTGTAAAGGGGAGAAGTGGAGCCCATGGAAGCTGCCTAAGAGCCTCCCAAATCCTACAAAGCTGCGGATGGAGCAAAGTCAGAAGCTTTTCATTCCTGCATGTATGGTGCTCCTGTTTCGGCCCACAGAGGGAAAACTACATGGGGCAAGAGGAACAAACATGATTTCTGCCCCTGCATTTGGGAAGATAAAAACAAAGAGACTTACGGTGTAGAACCAGAACTTGACGATAGGTGCATTGTAGAATTCATAGATTTTTCTACCCAGGGGGATTAGGCGGTGCCTGCTCTGAACCTCCTCTTCATCCTTTTTCCTGGAGGACTCCCCATTGTTCCGTCCCAGCATTGCCTACAGCGGGAGAGAAGAGACACTATCACAGCAAGGCTCTGCGTAGAGCAGCTCAGCCCCCCTTTTGACCCGAGGGTGGGGGCCGATGCTACTGAGCCTGAACTCACTGAACTTTCTAAGAGCCCCAGCCCCCAAAACATCGAAAGGCCACAGCTTCCTAGGCATGTGATCCATTAGACAGCATCCATGTCTGGACCGCAGACCTTGGACATAGCTCTCGACCATGTTCTTCTCTTCCACCCTGGACACCTTGGAGGGGTGGGTGACAGCAGATGCACAGAATCCTGGGAGGAAGAGTGGAGCCAGGGGAGGGCAAGCTATAGGAGTCTGCCTGTCTGTCCATGTGATGAGGCAGCTAGATTAGGGTGCAGATTCTGTCTCTAGCCATGCTGTAGGCTGGATCAAAGTTCCTCATTTTTTGGTTGTATTCAAGAGGTAAATTATTGGCATTATGTAGAGCTCAGGCTCTGATTTCAAGCCTTGTAAAAGTGGAATTACTATTGGGCCCAGCATACTGCCTTCCTGTATAGCTAGTGGGAAGGGCCAGGCGAGCTCTAGGATGTTGACTACCTCCTTATGTATGCATTAGCCCATCACCCACATAGCAGCAGCATCAGCAAAGGTTTAACATCACAAGGGGGGTGGAACCTGACAAAAGGCACACACACACTGTCTGGGCAGCAAGCAGCAGGGAGCTCCCGAAATGGCTGAAGAGCCCAGTGATGAAGTGTTTTAGACTTTGGGTCATGAGTCATGGAATACTTAGAATCTGTTGTACCTTGGGCAAGTTGTTTTAATCCCTCAGAGACTTATTTTCTTTAACTGTATGGTGAGGGTAATAAGAGGCCCTGTTATTGGGTTAGTCTACAAATAAATTTAGTTGTCTGGCCTTATTAACTGCTCAGTAACCATCAGCTGTCTGTAAAGTATCCTGGGACTTCCCAGATAGTGCATCCTGACTTAAATGGTCCAGCTGGGAACCTCTAGGAGGTAGCTTAGTATGAAGGCCCTGGCTTCAATCCCAGCTAGTAACCCAGTCCCCCAAATTGACCTTGACTTTGTCTGAAGACATATCTGGCCTTTGCCCTCAGCTCCTGGAAGGCAAGGCATATCATATCAACAGTTCTTTGTTTAGAGGGAAAGCCAGCCCCAGATCTGAAGGTGGGGACCAGCCTTGCCATAAAAGCCCACTGCATGAGTCACAGTGGGGGCTTAAGGTCACCTGGTCACTGGGATAAAACACCAGCAATTAGTCAGTCAATCATACTTATGCTGTGGAGCACCAATAAAAGCGTCAGACAGAAGGCCCAGGCCAGCTTCTCTGGTCGGCAACACGTTGTGCCTGTTTCACACACTGCTGAGCACTGAATCCTGGCTCCACCATGAGTGGATCCAGAGATGATGCATTTACAGACATTCTGGACTTAAACTTACATACATCTTCTTTTGTGTGATTTTAATTTGTATGCTTATCCTATAACACACTGTAACTATGCAAGAAAAAGACTCTAACAGCATAACCTCTTGGCTTTAGGTCTTTAACACTGTCCTAGACAAGGTTAGTTTTCCAATGTTGCTTTATTAAATGTGGGATACAATACTGCTCAGGACTGAAACATACCTAGATGAAAGCATTGTCCTACTGAGCACACAAGATTAAAGTGGAGAGATCTGGTTGTAGCAATGGTTGAAGTTTGTCTTGAAACTGAAAGCAGGTTTATCTTTATCTTCACCAGCATCCAATCTTCATGGTGGATACAGCACACTAGACCCCAGTATTAGAGTACTTATCATTGATCTTAGGAAACTCTGATGGTACCAAATACATGGTACAGTATTTGTCCTGTAATTTATAATTTATGTAATATTATTCTACTGCTACTTCTTTTGTTATTCTGGTTTTGTTTTTAAAATTTTTTAAAGTCCATTTGTTTACTTGATATAGGGTCTTGCTATGCAGTTTGGACTTGTAATGATCCTCCTGTCTCAGCCTCCCCAGTGCTGGGAGTATAGGTGTACACCACCATGCCTGGCCTGGCACACCCAGCGTTCCTGGGTCCACAGTGCAGCACCGGTGCTCGAACCTGGGTCATTGTGCTTGCCAGGCAGGCACTTAGACCACCGAACTATCTCCCCAGTTCTGATTTTGTTTCTTTGAGACAGGCTTTCACTATGTAGTCCAGTCCTGTCTTGTCTTATCTTGAAATCACTCTGTAGCCCAGGATGGCCTTGAACATACAACCTCTCTGCCTCAGCTTCCCAAGCGCTGGAATTATAGGGAGTATCCTGCTTCTGCTCTGCTTATTTCTGTGTGGAACAATGCAGAGTTACTCAGGAATTCAAAGAGATGGAAATAAAGGCAGATTCTGGCTTCTTGCAGGGCGGCATCCTGGGGCAACCTTTGGGGACAGTGACTTTCCTAAATCTACAGTTGAGGCTCAGGATATGTTGGGACTCTGTTAGGCCAAGTGCAAGGTGCTGGCACTTAGCTGGCCAGGCAGGTGAAACATAGGTAAGACTATGACAACCATTTTGCCTTTCTTAGTCAAATTATTTCAAAGCCAATGTATTGCTTTTGATGGATTTGAATGCAGCATTTTTGTCACTTCATTAATTCATTTATGGCACTTCATTAATTGGAGCTTGGAAAGGCCAAAGGATGTCCCCTTCCAAGGGAAGATGGTATCAGTTCTGTGGAAGCGGTACTCTCTAAGCAGTCCACAATGAGCCCGCTGACCAGAGCCCTAGCAGTGACAGGATTTGCCAGGAGGGCCAAGAAGGCTCACCTGTGAAGCAGCTGCTGTCCCAGCCTGGGCCCACCAGGGTCCTCCCAACTCTTTCTGCTGAGGAATGGTAAGCTCGGCGTTTGCAGAGTCTCCTACTTGGGCTCCCAGTGACCGCTGCTGCGGTCTACCCTTTGGTAAGCAGACTTCGCTCTCGGTCCACAGACTTGTGGATTGTTGAGCGATTCAATACCCAAAGCTCTGGGCTGAGCAGGGACCACTTCTCCCTTTGTTTTCTTTGGAGAACATGCTGATTTAGCTCCTAGCTGTCTTTCTCGAATGTATGGCTATATGGGAGTCACGCCATACTTGAATTAGAGGACCTAGGTGTCACTTTTGAATTTTCCCTACTCCATGGTGAACCAAAGCAGCTGATCATCTACACTTAAGACCAGGAAGAAATTCTTTCTCTCTTAACTTTTGGCTGAAAGAATAGCCTGTGGGGTCAGCACACCTGGGTCTGAATCCCACCTTTATAACTCATTAGCTGAGTAAAGGTGAGCAATTGAACCTCTTTGAGTCCCTCCCTCCTCCTCTGTAAAATGGGCTAATAATAACGCCTATCTCATGGGTCTGACGAGGACTCCGTGGCTAAGCATATGAAGAATGCTTAGCTCCCTTACAATAATAGTGAGTATTTACTGATGTTTTTAGCGTGCCAGGCTCTAGTCCCAGTAGTTTGTGCGTATTTCTCTTAACCCGCAGGAAGCATGCCACACTTAGGCAGAGTGATTCCACGCAGGAAATCACACAGATGCAGGAGGGTTTTGACTCCAGGCCACCTAACGCTTTCCCCACTGCTAAAATATTTACTGTGGATTCATTATTCATACAACTGTCATTTCTCTCAGTGCTGAGAATACCATTTTCTATCCGGTAAGGGTTGCAGAGGGCAAGATGTGGGAAGGAAAAAAAAAAGATGCAGGAAGGATTACTTTTGTTTGTGGTATTGGCCACACAAAGTTACATCCCTGGCTCCTTTTTTGTATCTTATTTTGACGCAGAGTCTCACTAAGTTGCTAAATTCCTCATGCTGGGTCTGGGTTTGTGGTCCACCTGCCTGAGTCTCCAGAGCGCTGGGATTGTAGGTGTGTACCACCCTCCTAGCTCAGAGGGACATTTAGGGAAGATGCCCCAGGATGCCACTGCAGTGACAGGCCGCCTCAGAAGGTTTTGTAAGGGTCCTGAAACTGAGACAAAAGTTGGCTTTTCATTTGGGAAGTCAGGAAATGGATCTGTAAATAGATCAGAGGCCTCCCGGAGGAAAATCACCCACCTGGAGGAAGAACAATTCGCACAGCGGTCTCACTAGGATAATAATGCAAAAAGTCTTTTGTCACCTGAACAAAATCAATTTTCGTAGTCTCCTCTTACAGTTCCTTCTGGGTCATGAGAGCCTCTGTTGCTAGCTAGGGTGGTGAGGGAGGGGGACATGAGGCACATCAAGAAAGTCCTCGTGGAGCCGTTGCGTGATGGCTTCTAAGCCACAGAGCCTCGTCTGTCCCTATAACAGGGGGTATTTTTAGCCTTTGGGTGCAAGCCAGTGGCAGTCATGCTGCCCCTGCGGGGGTGGCGAGAAGCTGTCCCCCGAGCAGCTGCCCCATCTCTCTGCAGAACAAAGCACCAGATTCTATAATTATCCCAGGAAGAGCTAATAAAAGCTTTCCATACAAACATCAAAATTCAATTAATAGTGTATTTGTGAGCCTGACCCCAAAGACAGACGCAGCTTAGCTTCTGATCAGCAGAATATTCCTGTGCAGACGCCGGCTGCTCCAAATCATGGGCTCCCTTCCTTTTTGTGCGCTAAAACTGCCACAGAGGCTGATTGTTTATAAAACTTTGCTTGCCTGGAATTTTAGGGGTGCTGTGCTGTGAGCTTTATTATTCTTTCCCTGCACCACTAGCTAGCTGAAGGTCTTTACAGAAGACTGGACCCTCTAGTCACGTTCTTTGTGCGTACAGAGAATACTAGCACACACCCCAGTCTCAATAAATGTGGTGGGAGCCGGGGAACAGCTGTTTAACCTGGAGTTGTTGAACCCTTGGCCACACCAAGTGGAGGAGGGCGTCCTTCCAGGGAGAAGGACCCATAGCTCAGCCTTACTGTCAGTTCCATGTCCTCTTCATCTTTCTCCTTGGTGGGCTTCTCTGGTTCTTCGGGCTCCTTCTCTTGTAGGTGGATTTCTTGGGCCTGAGTCATGTAGGGCATGTCGTCTTTGTTCTTGAACTCCAAGCTGAGAATTGAAGGAGGAAGTAGAATTCCCAGAATTACCTAAAGTAATAATAATGATAATAATAATAATCACATTTAAAGGATTACAAATAAGGTGGTTGGTTTCTTAGACTCAGAGGGCCGGGGGTGTGGCATTGTGTGTGTGTGTGTGTGTGTGTGTGTGTGTGTGTGTGTACACATGCACACATGCATATGAAGGCTTCTAGGCCTTGGATGGAGACTTGGACTTCTAACTATCTGAATGTATTAATGTGAAGTGGTCATGGTCATAGCTGGGAAATATTTTTGGATAGCAGCTCTATCTAATTTTTTGGAGAAATAAGGAATTTTCCCCAAGTATACCTTGCCCTATTGACACCCAGGTTCATGGGAGAACTAAGGAAAAAGAGAGATTCCCTTCAAAGCAAAAGTGGGAAAGAATTAGGATTTCTAGTTAGTCATTAGACAGGACTTGGCTTCCTAAAAATCAATCCACACATGTGTTCTTTCGCGTTTATTTGTTAATGTGTTAAGTGGAGTTGATTCTATATTATCTGACTATCTGTCAAAATTTTATTCTAAGATGACCTCAAGGGAGTACATATAGGAAAGCATTTTTATTCACTAGAGAGGATTTTAGAGGCATTTGCTGTTATACAACAGAGCCCCCCAAGCTTGTGGTGTCCCCTTGTGGGAATGCTTCCACAGGCACAGCACTCTGCCTCTGTCCTGTATAAACAATGGCAGACATCCCTGTTGAGGATGTCTGTTGTGTAGGCCTCTCCCATGAGGGGAGTCTCGCTGTCCACTGCCAGGGAACAAGTACAATCTTGAGTGGTGTCTACATCTGACTTTTTCTCCCCACATTTCCTCCCATTCCTCTTAATCCTGATATGGCCCTGGGGTGCAGGCTTCTAAAAATAAACCTCTTGCAGAAACTGCTTCCAGAGATGGGTCTAGAGAGATCCTGAGAGTCAGGGAAAATGACACTCAGACTATGAAGGAAGGATATCCCATGCTTGACGCTGTCTGGGAACCACCATGACCCTGGCTTCTGGGTTCCTGGCTGGGCTGGGAGGCTTGGGTGCATGCTGGCAGCTGTTGGGGGGCATGACACCTGTCCTGCAGCTGAGAGCTGGCCTGGCATCTTGCCTGAAGCCAAGCTCCTCTATCCCTAGCCATGTGGCTATGAAATGTTGTCTACAGCTCATTTCATGGGAGCCACCTGAGCCTTTGGCCAAGAGCCCATGGGAAAGGTAGAGTGCTGATCCCAGGAAATTCAGGCAAAGGGTATGGAGTGGCTGACCTGAAGGGAGGATGCACAAGTCCATGATCTGATGTGAAGCCCTTCTGGTAGCTTATTGCATATGAGAAAACTGCTAGAGGGATTTAGGTGCTCTTACCACCTTAAGTAAAATGTGACCATGGAAGATGATGATGGGTATTTTAATTTGCTCCACCCTCGTAACCATTTCAACATCAAAAATAGCATGACCTACACTTTACGTATGTTTTTTTTTTTTTTTTTTTTTTTTTTTT